CGCAGGGCGTTGTTTTTTTTTTCTTCCGAAGTTAGAGCTGATTTGGAGAAAACCCTCAAACGCAAATTTTCAAACAATATTATAATATTATAACAATTGCTTTAAGAGTTTGTAATTTGGGAACGTTTTCCTGGGGTGCTTTAAGTTACTATTACAGTGCCTTCGGCAAGTATTCAGACCCCTTGACTTTTTCCAAATGTTATTACGTTACAGCTTTGCTTCACCATTCCTACGGTGAAGCATGGCGGTGGCAGAATCATGCTGTGGGGATGTTTTTCAGTGGCAGGGACTGGGAGACTAGTCAGGATCGAGGCAAAGATGAACGGAGCAAAGTACAGAGAGATCCTTGATGAAAACCTGCTCCAGAGCTCTCAGGACCTCAGACTGTGGCGATGGTTCACCTTCCAACAGGACAACAACCCTAAGCACACAGCCAAGACAACGCAGGAGTGGCTTCGGGACAAGTCTCTGAATGTCCTTGAGTGGCCCAGCCAGAGCCCGGACTTAAACCTGATCGAACAATCTCTGGAGAGACCTGAAAATAGCTTTGCAGCAACGCTCCCCATCCAACCTGACAGAGCTTGAGAAGATCTGCAGAGAAGAATGGGAGAAACTCCCGAAATACAGGTGTGCCAAGCTTGTAGCGTCATACCCAAGAAGACTCTAGGCTGTAATCGCTGCCAAAGGTGCGTCAACAAAGTACTGAGAAAAGGGTCTGAATACTTATGTAAATGTTATATTTCAGTTTAAATTTTTGTATAAATTAGCAAACATAATTTTTTTTTTTTTATGTAATAAATTTTTGAATAAACCTGCAACCTAACTAAATGTGGAAAAAGTCAAGGGGTCTGAATACTTTCCGAAGGCACTGTATATGCGTTTCTGGCATTGAGAAATAAGTGCTACACTGCCTTTAAACGTCTAGCACTTTCCAGCTGAAACAGTTGAGCAACCGTGTCAGCGACTGCCAGCAGGGCAAAGGAGGCACGGCCGGGGCAGCTGGCTGAGATGGGCCAGTCAACTGAACCGCTCCCTGCCAAGTCTCGTCTCAGTGATCACGCCGTCGCACGCTGGCCCACGGCATGGGCAGCAGATTCACCAGTCATAGAGATTCAGGGGGGTCTTGGAACACAGACACTATCACGTGTCCGCCGAAGTCGCGCCCCCATCCAATTCCCCCTTGGTCACATTGCACTGTGTCCATTCCCCTTTACAGAGAGAGAGAGAGCTTGAGAATCACTCATCTCCATAACCTCGACACCAGTATCAAGAATTGAGAATCAAGGACATCTAGTCAATTTTCTTGGGCTTACTTATAGATAGATGGCTTTGTTACTAAAAATACCTAACTCTTAGCTGACACTATCATGATGAATCTCTTGGTTAGATTTGGACTGTCACTGGATTCAACAGTCGCTGCATTTGTTGGTAGACAAGAAATATTGAAAAAAAAAATGTAACGTGACTCTCGGTTCATAATCGTTTAACGCAAATTGCTGACAGACCATGGTGAAATGTATCATAACCAGACCATGGGAAGCATACACAAATCTCAGAGGCAATGAGTGCGATCACACCCCTTCGCTGTATAGAGTTTCTGAAGACATTTAGGTGGTCCTAACGATCAGTGCTGAGCAACATGACTATAGGGGCGTCATTCCATTTAGGAAAAGGGATTCACATATTTATGCTATTAAAAATCATTTTCAATTCATTAAAGTAATTTTCAATTCATTAATTGAATTTCAGTTCATTTCCTGAATTGACTGAATAAGACATTAACCCCATTTTGTTTGGATCAATGGATTAATCCAGTCATGCTCCACAGATAATGGTAAAAAATAATCTCTACAGGAGTGATCAGTCCATTGATTATATAAATAAATGGTGCTAAACTGTGTCTCCCGCCCACAGACAACTTATCCTCTCTGATAGCCAACAGTTGTTGGGCGTAATATGTAGAAATCCAATTTCCATTCATGTCAAGAGCCTGACCAGCTGTCCCACAATTGGTGGTTGACCCAGTTCACTTGAGTGGGCTGAAAGACTGACCAACTTTGCTACAGCGATTTTGTTGTTCCGATATTTCCCAGCATACATTGAGAGTCAGGGACCCAGCCTTACACAACTGTGCTCTCGTAGGCATAGCCTAAAATTGGAGCCTTTCATGCATGTTTCTAGCCCCAACGTGCTTTGTGTTTGGTCAGAGCTGCCCTTGGAGCAGTGCTCTTTCACCCCTCCTGTCCCTCTCCGTCCTCCACTCTGCCATGTTTTAATCACTGCTGTGCCTTTGAAAGAGAAAAAAAGCTTTGTTACCCTATTGGCTGCTGTTGGTGGAGCTGTTGCTAAGGGGAGGGGTTGAGAGAGTGATGGAGGTGGGATTGGGAGATGGCCGTTTGTGAGGACGCTATAGATATAATTTGTATTTGATATGCATGTCATGCATGGATACAGATCTTAACTGTTGATTTTATAATTGCAATTAATGGCTCCTTAGTGTTAATTACTTTACTGACCCATATTTTCAGAAGATGTTTCTGAAAGTAAACGGTGTTGATTCAGAGCTTTGAGAATGGTGTCCTGAAAGATAAAACAGAGTAATAATGTTTATTGGGTCAAAAACGCTATGATCGTGGATTTATGGTAAATGCCATGCTAATTTATCATTTCTTTATATCTGCAAGCAACTTATTATTCACATCTCTCTGCTCAATCAACCTAGATGCCCACAGTGTGATGTGCAGGTTGAACAATGAACAATTGCCAGCTGAATAGTGGCTGATGAGGTAGCCTACTTGTTAAACATACAGCTATTGATTTAACTGTGGAACAAGGAAAACATATACTATATATATATACACACACTAAAGTGTGTGGACACCCCTTCAAATTAGTGGATTCGGCTATTTTAGCCACACCTGTTGCTGACAGGTGTATAAAATCGAGCACACAGCCATCCAATCTCCATAGATAAACATTGGCATTAGAATGGCCTTACTGAAGAGCTCAGTGACTTTCAACGTGGCACAGTCATAGGATGCCACCTTTCCAACAAGTCAGTTTTTCAAATTTCTGCCCTGGTCAACTGTAAGTGCAGTTATTGTGAAGTGGAAACGTCTAGGAGCAACAACGGTTTGGTGGAGGAGGAATAATGGTTTGGGCTAAGCCTCCTTAGTTCCAGTGAAGGGAAATCTTAACGCTACAGCATACATTAACATTCTAGACAATTCTGTCCTTCCAACTTTGTGGCAACAGTTTGGGGAAGGACCTTTCCTGTTTCAGCATGATAATGCCCCGTGCACAAAGCAAGGGCCATACAGAAATGGTTTGTCGAGATACGTGTGGAAGAACTTGACTGGCCTGCAGAGCCCTAACCTCAACCCCATCGAACACCTTTGGCCTGAATTGGAACGCTGACTGCGAGCCAGGTCTAATCACCCAACATCAGTGGAGGCTGTTATAACAGCAAAGGGGGACCAACTCCATATTAATGCCCATGATTTTGGAATGACATTCGACGAGCAGGTGTCCACATACTTCTGGTCATGTAGTGTAAACCAAAGTTCATGAACTCTTTAGAGCTGTCATACTTTGACTCAATGGCATACAAAAGCACTGTAAGTCCATTGTAAAGTTCAATTTCCTTAACCTGGTCCACGTCAGCAGAAATGTTGCTATCATTTGCATGAGAAATCACTTTATGGGATTAAACTATGAACTCCAAGCAGGAAATGATCAGATTTTCCCATCTAAATATTACTAAAAGACTGACAACCTTGATGTTCACTGCTTCATTTTTTTTTTTTTTTCCCCCAAGGTAATTTCTAGGGCAAGTGCCAGGGCTCTTAACGCTTTCATAGTGGTAAGTTAGTTCCCAGACTAACCCAATCTTACTTTACACCCACAAGGAGCCTGTAGTGGAATTAAAGTGAATCATGCAATTGTACAGTGCTTACATAAATCAGTGCTCATGTTAGAGCATGTCGAAGGTGTCACCCTCACATTCCTACCAGGAATCTGAAACATCAGAAAGTACAAGCGAGACCATGCATTAAAACCTATGCTAGATAGACAATTATATAAACCAGGGCCGATATGAAAATGGTATACACACACTGACCCTTAGCAATACCTCTCCTTGATGTTTGAAGGCATTGACGACACACAAATTTGAACAAGTTAAGTTTAATTATTTTAGTTGTACTGCATTTCTGCCCAATATAAAAATTGAAATATCCAAGGACAATACATAGAAATTAATAGTGGTGTTACAATAGTTTGACTCCAAAAAAAAAAAAAAGGGTAGGTTGCCATTCAAACAATGTGGACCAGACAGTAGGGGGCATCTGAGCAGGACTTTATTTAGATAATTCAAGGCACACCACGTGTCATCATGAGCAATACGATTAATAAACTATTATTTTAAATAAAGGCGCTTAAACAAGCCCAGACATTAAGGTGTCCTTTAAATTTTAAGGAGGGCCAGAATAACCAGCAGTCTAAATACTCCTAGTCAAACCTCTCTAGAGACTTTTAAAAAGACATGGCATACACAGACATCCAATTCCACTGACATACATGTGAATCCACAAATGAATGTTTGGACTTGAAATGAAGACTATGGGAAGTTTGTTCATCTACCAGATCCATGATTCAACTAGACTCCAAATCCGACACCAAAAACGCTGTAAAAACGGCCAATAAGCATAAAATGTCAAACCCTGATGAACTTACAACGCAAGGTTTAAAGAATCCTATATGACCTTACACGGTCAGGAACATGTGCAAGTGTCAATCAGATTGGTTTACATTTATGATTAGTGGAGGTTTGGGAAGCAAGTGACAGAGGGGGTGGAGTGTTACTACTCAAGACAGGATTGAAAGAAATCATAAGGTAGTTGCTCTGGTCAGTCCACCACCGATTGCACAAGGGGCAAGAGGTCTCCCATAACACCACGGTGTTTGTGAGTCAAGCAGACCAGGTTCAGGCAGATGTGACCCTATCTCATGAAGTTAGCACCTCCGATTTCCCTCTTGTAGCAGTTGGTGAGGTGGTCTGCTTGCACTGTGAGTTTTGACAGGACTCCAAACAGTCCCCTGAGGTGGTAGTGGAACTGGCCCTCCAGATCTGAGCTCTCGTCACCAGGGAGCCCCCTGGTTATCGACTGCTGCTCCGCTTGCTTGACAGCCATTTCCAGGAAGCTGGCCCCACCGCTCATCTCCCTCTTCAGCAGGCCCCACTCCATGTCGTTCTTTATGGACTTGAGGAGGAGGTAGTGCTCGTACATGTCCCTCTGCTTGTTAGGGTAGGAAGGCTCGTTCTTCACCACCACCTCAACCTGCTGGCTCTCCTGCTCCTCCAGGGGCACATCCCGCAACAGGCTGGGCACCATGATAGTCTCATCCATGTTGTTGGTTGCAGCGATGAAGCGGTGCATCACATTGATGAGGGAGTTCTTGTTGCTGGCCGGGTCACTACTAATTTGCATCATTGTAGAGGTTTAGGGTAGACTTGGGTTTGCAGGAAACAGGTGGAGTAAGGCAGAGTTTCTTGATGTTAAGGCCAACAGATGAGCTAAATGTCACTGTGGGAATAGAAACCATGAGACAAAGGCAGAAGAAAATTGCATCCTAGCCTGAAAACCCGACGTTGAATTGCATAGAATTTTTGTGGGGCAGAAATGAGCGTTTTGATCAGTAAAGTTTCCTACATGCCAGAACGTTCAATAAAATTATATTTTTACTTTACCGGTTGTCCATGTTGTAGGTCCTTTTGCTGGGTAGGAATGTGAGAATATAGCCACAGGAAAGTATAATTACGTCAACTTCTCAAAGCACTGTTAGTGCGTTCAGATTTGTCACCTGAAGCATGCGCACAAGGTTAAAATATATGCACGAGAAGAATGCATACTTGCAGAGCTCGTGCTTCGGTTCTGCACAGGCTTTACGTGATAAATCTGAACGCACTACCAGCGCTTTGTAAAGTTGATGTAGCCCAATTATACTTTCCTGTGGATACATAGTATCACATTCTTCAATACAAAAGGACCAACCACACGGACAACCCGTAAAGAGTTTAAAATGTCATTTTATTCGACATTTTGTCTCGTAGAGCTTCCGAGAGGATTTTCCAAACAAATGAATGGAAATTAATCCAGACTGAACCAGAGGTATCAGTGTCTGGCAAATTGCGTCCCAGAACTATAACAAAGGCCTTTGGTCAGAATAGAGACCATTAAAATAACAAGCCAGGCACCCGCCTACCGAGAACGCAGTCAATGCACGGCGCAGGATAACTTCAGCTGGACAAACAGGAGATAGGCAACACTAGATGACATGGGCTACTTAACAGTTAATGGCGGAATGAACAGCCACTTCATAAATAGGTTTAACCTGACTACCGCATCCCAGAGTAGGCTATGGCGTAGGCTGCTAGACACATAATAGAAAGTCTGCACCAGAGCCATATATTTAGGTATGGCTCTGGTCCGCACTAAAACGAAGCAAGGTAGCCTACGCTATCGAAAACACTTTGTTCCTGCACTGTAACTAACAACGAGCAAGGCAGAGCATCATATAGCGCTTCCTATAAACGCTTGTCTAGCATCCATTTGACTAGAACAAAATAAATGCGGACCTGAGCAAATGTTTTCTTGATGGTGCGTCGGAAAATAGCAATTCCAGTACTTGCTCAGGCTCCACCAGCCTGGAAGAAAAGTATAAACTTCCTCAGCTCTCGCGCTGAGAGACGCGGGCCTTTATAGTGTGGGCGCGCCGGCTAGAAAAAAAACAATATATTCCCCTTCACGTTATCAATGGTGCAATAGGATAGTATTGAGGAAATGGGGCGTTAACTTTAGGTGATTGACTGTGACAAAAACCAATCAGAGACCACATATTATTTTGTGAGCCTGTCTGCAACTAACCTAACATAGCAGGTGTAAAAGAAACTGCAACTGTAGTCAGCAACAGACGCCCAGTAATGTTGTTACCATAGAGATCATATTAAATTATTAGAGGGTAATGTTGTTACCATAGAGATCCTATTACATTATTAGAGGGGCTATGTCATGAACCCTCAAAGTTCCGTAATGGGGTCAAAATGGCAGCCATATTGGTCAGGGATGAATCGAAACCAGTGTAATTGGAATGAATGGCAGTAGAGGCATAATCCTGATTTTACTTATGCAAGAAAGGAGAAGTAAGGCATGTGCTGTATCAGAAATTGTGTAATGCAGTGGTCACCAACCTTTTGAGTCAAGATCACTTTCTGAGTCAAAATGCAAGCCGAGATCTTCCGCTCAGCTTTGTTTCAAAAATGGCTTAAAAAACATGAATCAATTAAAAACAGTTCTGTATCAATGAGGTTTGTACAGTAGGCTATAGGCCCAATACATTATCTCTGCATATTGGCTATGCTTGAATTTCCCTGCCAATGTTGTTCTTCTCAGAACATTTTGAAATTATATTTTTTAAATGTAGGTAGTTATATGATCACACTGGTAATAGATAATTTGTTGTATTACTTGAGGCACAGCTAAGTGAGCATAATAATTTGCTTCTTATTTTTTTACTGGACTGATGGCCTGCATCTGATGGTCAGTCGGAGGGGAGGGAGGGAGCAGCAGTGAGGCTGCCTCTCACCTGCCTCACCGTCCCTCCGCCCTCCTTCCCTCCGCTGAGAAAAGGGGACACAGTCTTCCAGCTGATGGCGAAACTCATGTTGCACTGCATTATTTCTGTCTCATGCACCAATCTATGTTGTTACTCGCATGACCAGAGAAAGTGAAATATTCCTCAATATTAAAAAAGACAAGCCGCTAATATTTTGCTATACTAATTGATTGCAGCTGCAGTGCTGGTTGTAGCGTGTGGAAGTAGGGAGAACGCGCATTTTATGGCTTATAAAGGTGTTGAACAAAGTGCTGACAGTGCTGAATAACAACTTAAACATGAACTTACACATAAAAACAGCAGCTCTTTGCTGTATTCGTTGAGTCTCTCTCGTCATGGTTTTAAAAGTTTTGAAATCTCACTGTGTCAATTTTGCTGTGCGTTCAAGGCTTCTTTTTACAGTTTATGGTTCGAGGAAACTGTTCAGACACTGTGATCTGAGCTATCTGATTGGCCAGCGGTAGGCCTATAGGTGCAATCGATTTGTTCTCTGGGCCTGCCGGGTAGGTGGAGTTCTTCCTTCAGACACATGAAATGGTTCAAAATGGGAACACTTTGCCTTTCCGGCGCTAGGGCTGCTGAATCAAGTGCACCTACTGCCAACAGCGCGAAACGAATAAAAAAAAATAGGAATGCAAGGCTTTATCGTTGGGTTTTTTGCAGAAATGTTTGGTGATCAACTAGGAATGCCTTGGAGATGGACCGGTTGGTGATCGACCGGTTGGTGACCACTGTTGTAATAGAATAATTGTCAACCTAAAATATTGTCATATTATTATAAATACAGTTTATACGGGTTTTATATACATTTTCTGTATAAATAGCTTTTAAAATATATGTAAACAGACCATAAATGTCAACATTTTAGTTTTCTTGAAAAGTTATGAGTGCTATTATATGATACAATATCAGTACTTGTTGCATTTACAACTTGTCTAAGCCCTATCATCAGTTGATTTCAGCCAGTGTATGGCTGTGATTTGACTGCATTGTTTGAATGGAGTGTTGGCATTTTGGCAGTTAATTTGAAAACAATGTATGGAATCATTCCTCTAAAACTGGCTGGCTATCTAACAAACACACAGTGCAGATAAAGTCTTCAAATTCATTATTTTACACAAGCTTATCACAGCACTGGCAAACCATGGTTGACCAACTTCCTGACCAAAATGGCTGACATTTATCCCATTGTGAGAAGGTTAAATAATAATAATAATAATATGCCATTTAGCAGACGCTTTTATCCAAAGCGACTTACAGTCATGCGTGCATACATTTTTGTGTATGGGTGGTCCCGGGGATCGAACCCACTACCTTGGCGTTACAAGCGCCGTGCTCTACCAGTTGAGCTACAGAAGACCACTCTAGTATTCTAATTCTATGGTTGTTACCATATTTTTAAGCTTTAATATGCCATTTAGCAGACGCTTTTATCCAAAGCGATTTACAGTCATGCGTGCATACATTTTTTTGTATGGGTGGTCCCGGGGATCGAACCCACTACCTTGGCGTTACAAGCGCCGTGCTCTACCAGCTGAGCTACAGAGGACCAAAGCTTGATACGTTGATACAGAAATCATAATGAGTGAATGCGGTGTGTGTCCACTGTACAGGGGCTATGTAACTCCAGTCTATTTTCATGAATGGTCATTGCAATCTACACGTTTTTTTAGTATATTTTACTATTATTACCCCAGCATTACCTGTATGTAATAGTCTATACCAGGGTTCTTCAATTCCGGTCCTGGAGGGCCGAAACACCTCTGTTTTTCATCCTCTCCTTCTAATCAGGGGCTAATTCAGACCTGGGACACCAGGTGAGTGCAATTAACTACCAGGTAGAAATAAAAAACAGAAGTGTTTTGGCCCTCCAGGACCGGAATTGAAGAACTCTGGTCTATACTGTAGGCCTTATATTCCTATTTAGCATTAGGCTACTAAATAAGATGCAAGCACAAAAAGAAACAGCTCAGAGTTAATTCCGTGACCACAGGCCAGGATACTCACATGATTCATAAATAATTAATACATGCTGTAGTATGGTGGACTGACTTGAAAAGTTACCTTGGCCACAACTGGATCCCTAGGATGATTGGGTTCTATTTTCTAAAGGCTCTGTGTGAGTCACATCCTTTTTAGAAATCACTAGGCTATACAATACTGTCATCTGCTGTTCAGTTCAACACATGCCACATCAGTGCTGAAAGGAAACTGGTAAGTTCAAGCATAGATGTATAATAGGGTAGAAATAAGTCAAAAAAATATTGAGCTTTGCATTTTATTAACACTCCATTGATTTAAACATGATATTCGTCAATTTCAGCATTTCCAGACAGAGTAGCTATTTTTGTATAGTATAAGGTTATAATAACAAGAAGTGATTATTTATGAACAGTGATTAGTTCTGATACTGTAGTTAGGTATACATAGCTGTATTTAGTAAGAGATTAACATAAAAACCAGCAGTCAGGTTACATTGTTTGATATTAAGTGGAGGGGTTTGTTAGTACCTTATGTCATGTGGTTATATCTTTTCCTCCCCCTGTTTTCGGTCTCCAAACTTATTATGAGGGCGTCGTTCACTCACTTGTCTCCTCTACATCGTCTGAGGTCCTGTCCTGGGTTACTGAATTTCTATCGTTCTCATTCAGAGTTTCCTTCCCCTCTTCCACTTCTTCCTCTACTTCTGAGAAGTTAAACCCTGTAGAGGTGCGTCCTCTTCTCGCACTTCTATTGTGTCTTTCCCCATTTCTGCAGCTCTATCACTGCGTTTCCCTCTCTGTCCCCCCTTCCTCTTTCTAAGAACCAAAGCTATTACCAAAATAATACCATGTAAAACGAGAAGTAGAAGGATTAATGTAACAGTTGCCACGACCTTTTGCATGTTATGTCTCGACTCACACTCCTGCATGAGTTTATCTACAGATATTTCACCTTCATTGAGGACCAGCATAAGATGGCCACACTCATGGCTGAAGTTGACCCAGTTTCGCAGCTCTATGTCAACAGTTGTGTCGCCTAGTCCATAAAATGTCAGAAACACTCCGTCAAGTAGATGTGAACAGTCAACAGACTTCTCAGACAGAGAGCGCAGGTACACAATGTCCGTGGCATTATCTGCGGCACAGTTGTCTATGATCACTGAGCCATGGTGGGAAACCATCATGTAAATGTCACTTCCTTCTCCTCCAATCAAGTAATCTCCTCCCACAAGAGACACTAGAATGTCGTTGCCATCAGAGCCTTTGAGTAGGGCAGGTTCATAGCCAGACACCAAGATATCTGAGTAGATAGTGCCAATCACATTCTCAACATCCTTCAACACGTCTCCCTCAGCATCTGCCTGACGGCATTCTCCGCTCAGCAGGTTGACGTAAACGCCCTCACCCTTCTCATGATCCCCCTGGTACAGCACAGTGTCTCTCCCTGGGCCCCCGTCCACTAGATCAGCCCCTGGTCCGGGAACGAAGGTATCAGAGCCTGAGCCACCCATCATGGTGTCATTCCCTTCCTCTCCATAAAGAGTGTCATCTCCTATGTTCCCAATCAGGATGTCATTGCCTTGACCCCCCAGCAAGGTGTCATGGCCTGCCCCTCCATCCAGTGCATCATCCTTGATGCCACCGAAGAGTACGTTCTCCTGCTCATTACCTGTCATGTAATTAGAGTCATGGGGACAACCCTGCACAGTGTGAACAAATGATAAATTTGATTGAGAACTCAGATCTATTCGGCAGTCTCCCAGTTTTCCTTTCATTGTCACTTTGTAAGCTTCAATCCAAGGCTTTTGAAAGCCACGAGTTTTGTTTCCAACTGGAGATCTCACCCAAAAATGCACTCCATCAGAGCTCTGGAAGCTAAGGTGTTGGTGTTGTTGCCCTGAATTATAGTTGAGCACTCTGACCTGAATTTTATGTCCCTGTGTACCTGTGCTCACAAGTACATCATGCTTGTCAGACTGAACTGTGAGATGACCACCACCGAGGAAATCCATCTCAAACAACACAGTATCCATTCTTTCATCCTCTGCAAAGTTTTCAATCATGACGTTGGTTCCATATCCAGTTTTCACTACGTAGGTGTCTTCCCCATCTCCTCCCGCCATGCTACCACCTCCAGTAAAGGGATCCAGCATGTTATTTTTGTTGTTTCCTTCCATGATGTCGAAACCAGATGAGCCATACATTTCCACCACTGAGGCAAAGTCGATGTTATTCATCTTCATGATTTCTCCAGTCACCCTATTTCGGAAATCCACAGACTGAGGCAACTTTAAGGAGCCATCGCAACTGCTGGCATTGGACTCCAGTTTAAATGTTATTCCATCAGCTGATTGGATTTGGAGGTGTTGAGAGTTCCTTGAGTGAAACCAGCCCTTCAATAGGACTTCCTCTGAGCCATTTATGGAGAGATAAATGTCTGGTCCATCACATTTACAATTGATGAAATCATATTTTTCTTTCAGGAAAAGTACATCAGTAGCCAGATCGGGTGAGAGGTTCTCAATGGTTTTCAATCCTTGACCTGGAGTTACAACATACCAGTCCTCCCCTCCTCGCCCCTGAAGAAAGTCTGTTCCTCGCCCTGGTACTATTGTGTTGCGTTGTACGTTCCCTTTGATGATGTCATTGAAGTCTGAGCCTCGCACCTCTGTGACACTTTGGAAAGCCTCATCCTCCTGCAGATCCACATGTAGGGCAGCTGTGGACTTTCTGTAATCTATATTCTGACTTATGAGGCATTTGCTCTTAAAGGAGTCAATCTGCGCACAGGCAGCCTTGTTCTCAGAGATGCTGAAGGTGACCAGATCCTTTGTGATAACAAGCAAGTGCCTATCCGCTTCTGAACGGAACCAGTTCATTAAAGTCACATCAGAGCTTTGATCTGCAAAAGGGATCAGTTTGAGATGGTTTCCATCCACTTTAGCTTTGAATTCATGAAGGTTTGCCTCTATCACCAGTAGGTCTGTTTCATTGTCATTGGAGTGATTTTCGATTAATATCTTTGACTGTTTTTTCTCATAAACCATATATATGTCCTCTCCTTCTTCTCCCCTCACGTGGTCCTGACCCCCTCCACCATCAATCAGATTCTTCTGTCTATTTCCTGTTAGTATGTCATTGTAAGGAGACCCCATGATATTAGTAACGCTAAGGAGAAGTGGTTCGGATGCATTCACTGTCTGGCCGTGAGTTTTAGACATCCTATTGATACCTCTGGCAATCAGTTGGACAGAGGAAATCACTGTGGTGGAGATGTCAAACAGGACTCCGTCCTCTGACATCATGTTCATGTGGCGATATTCGTCCCCCAAAAACCAGTTTATAATCCTAATGTTATGGTTACCAAGATATCTTAAAACAATATCATTTCCTGACTTACTGACAGAAATCTGACTGTAGTTAACGCCGAGGAGTAGGACATCTGTTGATTTTAAAGGATCATAGTTATTAATAATCGTGTTTCCTCCATAGACAGGAATTATGAAAGTGTCTTTGCCGCCACACCCCTCCACATAGCTTTTTTGAGGTCCCAAATAGAACACGTCATCACCATTTTTTCCATAAAGCTTGTAATAATAGCTCAACATGACTTCAGTGCTATGGTCGTCATCTGCCTTCTGAACTGCAAAAAAAATATTTGCTTCATTGTTTCCCCAATATGTTCCAAATCTTGTGTCTGACAAAGCCTCATAACCAGAAACGACAGACCTAGAGCCGACTTTTATGAATAGGAGTACTTTTATATCTATGTTTTTGTAAGTTAATCCATGTGATTCTCCAATGCTTAGAACAATGTCTTTAGTTCCATGTGTTTCAATAGTCCAACACTTTTTCCCCATGTTTTCGTCACCGGATACAAAATAATCCATGCAGAAGTCAGATGGTCCCTGGTCTGAGAGACAAAAAGTGATACTCCCTCCATTCCAAGAATCCTCACCAGCTGTGAAATCAATGGCCTTTCTCCCATCCTGTACCTCTGTAAAAGAATAATACTTTTGGGGGTCTGAAATTCGTTCAACAATCCTTCGTCCCTCCTCAATCTCACGATAAGGAAAGGTATAAAAAAAGCTTGCCACATCAAGGATAAAGTGAAACAGTCCTTTCCCAAAGCCAACAAAGAATGCTCTTATTTTTGCCACAACGGTAGCATTTGGTGGTAAATTATTGAGTTCAGTCTGAATATCAAGATATACATCATCAAAGATCATTCGTATGGTATTTAGTGCCAGGTTGATTGGCACAATAAATGGCGCCAGTACTGGTAGAACGATTTCAAGAACATCCAAGGCAACTATTGCAATATCGAAGGTGGCATCAACATACCCCAGTGCATCTTTCCTCTTAAAGTCTTCCACAATATTGTAAATTCCAAAACCAATCCCTATGACTGGCATAACCACCAGGGCACGTTTCACCACAGGGCTTTTGATTAATGTTACCAAGGCTCTCATTACCTTGCGCTCTAAAACCTGAGGAACTTGTTTTCCAAGTGCAGCCAAGGTCATTCCTGTGACTCCATGTACAGTCTGTAACGTGGCTATTGTACCATGCTCAATGTCTCCCTCTTCAAAAGCATGAACGGCTCCTTGCATCCCCAACATGAGTCCTACTGCTCCCATTGCCATCCCTGTGCGCTCTAGGTGCTTTGAGACCTGGTGAGAATGGGTCCCCTCTGGAATCTCCAGGCCATGAACTGCCTCCATGTTTTTCCACATTTTCTCTGTGTATAGTTGTCCCTCTGGATGCAACTCCACCTTAAATTCAATTGGTTCCAGGAGATTCTTCTTCGATGTAAGCTGGCATCGAAATTGACCATCCTCCAGCCTAATACTGCCTTCTTTGACATGTAGTCCTTCGGAGTCCAGCCTGTCACCAAATTCTCTCCTCAACTGATTGTGAATCTGTTCAGCAAACATAGCAGAGGACCTAGCGTAATATGAAGAGAGCTTGAGTGAATGCTCTACTTCTGAAGCGGAATGTAGATCTTTCAATGTCACAGAGCCATCATGGGACCCACCCAAAGGTCCAGTGACCTCATTTTGGTTTGATTGTTTGCCAATTTCATTTAAGAAATGATTATAATCATCTGTGAATGAACTTTTAGAATTCTCTTCCACTAGCTTATACTCATTTGCAAGATCGAAGATCTCATCTACTAACTTTTTATCTTTTATTTTCCACCATTCTTCAAACACGTTATTCTCTCTTGTTGTTAGGACTTTAAGTTGTTTTTGTAAAATCTTTATTTTTTGTCCATTTTCTAATTTGGTAGACTCTTTGTCTGAGGAGGAACCATAAAATCCTCGGCTACCTGGATCCACCCAAGAGCCACCTTTTGCCATTGGATGTTCCTCCATGAGGAAACTCAAACCCTTCTCTTTGACATTATTGTCTGTGCTCTGGGTCATATCTAAGGCCATCAGGACAAGAGGAAATGTACGGAAATTTCTGGAGGACTCTGATATTACTGATGCCAAGAAATATGTTGTGTACCATGCCTCCATCATAACTTGTGAGCCTTTATTAATGTATTCCCCTTGAAGAGTTTCTTTCACAAAATTAGGATAACTTTCTTTGCCATCTCCTATATTTTTACGGATGGCTGAATAATGTTCTTTGCCAATCTGTGCCTCAACACAATGTTTTATCTCATCTATTTTGTTTTGATTTCCCTTTTCATTGTTGCCAAGCTTTTTACCAACTGGATACACATATAAAGTTTGGGGGTTTATCTTATAGATCCAGTCATGTAACATCAGGTACGTGGTCTCATCTTCTCCAAGCTTTGCATTATGATGGATCACACTTAGGATATCCTTACCTGACTTAATTTCATAACATTTATCAAGTATACTTCTAATGTCTTTCTCCTTTTCAATCCATTGTTTCGTTATTTCCGAATGTCCATTGATCTTTTTGCTCTCAATATTGCATATCTGATACTCTGATACTACTTCATTGTTCAAATATATGTGTAACTTTTTTGAATTTGTATCACTTGTCATTGGTTCAAAAATTGCCCAGGTTAAGGCCTCAAGTTCATCAGTATGTTCTTCACGTGCATAATGTTCAACAAATTTATTTGGAATGTCTGGCCATCTGTATTTTTTAAAACCTTTCACTAGAAAATTTCTCTCATTTGAAAAAATCACATCCCCCCTGTTGAACTGTTCTCTAGTGACAACATTTCCATCTCTGTCTAACATTGCCACCACTTTCTTGCTGTCATCCTTATGTCTTGTTTCCAATCCAGTGGGGGTTATTTCTACAGTTATCTTCTCCCCAGAGTGGCTGACCTGGAGCAAAGAACTCCTCAGGTGTAGTTCTGTCTCAATAGACCTTGTGTGGAGCTCTTTTAACAGGGTGCTCTTGAAGGCTTCATCAGACCCAACTTCACAGGCCACCACACTGGTGGTTTTAATATGGTCACTAGTCCTGGCAGTACGTCCAATGATGTCAGCCACGTCTTCGGCTTTGTACCCTCCAAGCCTCATCTCTCCTTCGCTGTCTCTGCTCCCATGGCCTACAAGTACCAGTCTGCTCTCTTCTGACAGTGGCACCGGGTCGCCTTTGATCAGTTTAGGCTGTTGGTTTTCCATGATGTACACAGAGGTCACAGTGGGATGTTTCTCATATAGAAATTTAGCAGCTAACCGAACAATGGGGTTATCTTCCAGTATTAGGATGTGCTGTTTATCATACTGTGTGGTGTGATCAACGGGTCTCTTTGGAGCATGGTACTCAGCTGCAGTGTCGGTGTGATCCATGATTTGGTAGATGAGAAGGTCTTCCGGGCTGGTAGTTTCCAAGACAGCATTATTGTCATGATATTTAAAAACCCTCATGAAGTCATTGTGAAATGCAGAAGTGGTATTGATGTCAAGGGAGAAAATGGATGCTGCTCTCAATGATGGTTTCAACATTAGATTTGCTAGTGAGGAACCAGAGTAACCGGACAGAGTATGTCCATCCTCTGAGGCAGTACCAAATATCTTCACAACTGTGCCACTGTTAACGGTTGGTAGACATGAATCATTGTACATACAAGCATCACTGACCATTACTGAATAATGAGGATCCATGCTGTACTCCTGTTCTACTCGCTGATGAGTCCACTCTTCCTTGTCCATTATAAGGAGAAGTTTGTTGCTGTAGGTGTAAGACATTTCAGAAGCAGACAGCAGCAAATCTTGAATCTTTTGTCCATCAATTTCTTCCAGAAACCTTTCAAAATCCTGAAAAAAGAACAATAAAAAAAAAGAGATTAAGATTGAATGGGCAATCCGGGATTCAAAAAATGTAACTACTTTAAAATGCATAGACAGAGGAAGGATTGACCGTCCATGAGATAAAAATGTGTGTTTTAACCATGGTTTGAAGCTACAGTGGGGTCCGAAATGATTGACACCCTTGATAGGTAGCCTAGCGATTAAGAGCGTTGGGCCAGTAACCGAAAGGTCGCTGGTTTGAATCCCAGAGCCGACTAGGTGAAAAATCTGTGCCTTGAGCAAGGCACTTAACCCTAATTGCTCCTGTAAGTCGCTCTGGATAAGAGTGTCTGCTAAATGACTAAAATGTAAAATGTATAAAGATGAGCAATATTGACTGTATTCAAATACTGAGCTATATTGTATGCTCAAAAGTAATAATTGTTTTTCTCAAAAAGGTAGGCGTCAAAATTATTGCCACCCCTAAAGATTCTTATAAATAAAGTAGTCAAAAGTTTAGTATTTGGTCCCATATTGTCACGTACGTTAAGAAACGGGTCGGACCAAGGTGCAGCGTGAAAGGTGTACATGTTTATTAACTAATAAACACACGACACAGTAACCAAAATAACAAACTTAACCGTGACGGTCCAAAGGCTAACACACAAGCCTAAACAGGAACACAACAAAATCCCACAACACAGGCAGGAAAACTGGCTGCCTAAGTATGATCCCCAATCAGAGACAACGAGCGACAGCTGCCTCTGATTGGGAAACACACCCGGCCAAACATAGAAATACAAACCTAGAATATTCACACCCTGACCAAACTAGCTAGAGTTCTATAGGCAAGGGCGTGACACATATTCCTAGCACGCAATGACTACATCAAGCTTGTGACTCTATAAACTTGTTGGATGCGTTTGATGTTCGTTTTGGTTGTTTCAGATTTTATTGTGCCCAATAGACATGAATGTAAATAATGTATTGTGTCATTTTGGAGTCACTTTTATTGTAAATAAGAATTGAATATGTTTCTAAACACTTCTACATTCCTGTGGATGCTACCATGATTACGGATCATCCTGAATAAATCATGACATGCTAACCTCCCTGTTATTGGTAATGGTGAGAGGTTAGCATGTCATGGGGGTATGATCTTTGACCCTCTGTAACTTTCTCATTCATCATTGTTCACGATTCAATCAGGATTATCTGTTTTTGCTCATCTTTATCAAGGGTGTCAATAATTGTCAATTACATTGTTCACAAACAATGGAGTACAACCAGGCTGAGCAAGATTATAATTAGGGTTCTGTTGGGGTACGACAGTTGAACTAAGTTCATGATTTAGAAGTTAAATTATTCAATAATTAATCGATATTATCTATATTATAATACCATAAGCCTCTCAGATGCGGGAGGATCTCCTCCTACAATTTTGCACCGATTTTCTTAGTACCTCTTTCATGGTACTGTCAGTACCCAGTTTTTGCGTTTGGAATGGCATTGTTGCCAGGGTAGATAGTGCTGTCATAATGCATTTGATGTAAGCATTTCTAGGCCAAGTTTGAATCTGTAGAATGACTGCATTACCCATAATGCTCATTGACTGGACATTCCAAATTACCATGGCATTTATGCATCACAATAGTTATATTAATTCATGCAACATACAGCAATCCACAGTATAGAATTTAAGCAATAAAGCTCAAGGGGATGTGGTATATTGGTCATATACCACAACCCCCCGAGGTGCCTTATTGCTATTATAAACTGGTTATCAATGTAATTAGAGCAGTAAAAATAAATGTTGTGTCATATCTGTGGTATACCACAGCTGTCAGCCAATCAGCATTCAGAGCTCGAACCACCCAGTTTACAGTTATGCAAAAAGTCATGAGAACCTGGGGATTATCATGTGAATAACTCACAGACCAGCAAAACACAGAGAGCCGGGTCGCTCCCTTCCACATACTGCACTGTTCCATAAAGAAGTCAGCCAGTTGGTACCAAGATTGACCTGGGCCATCATTCAAACAAAGAGATGCCTCCCTGGCCGACTCAAAACTATGCTTTTATTCTTTTGTCCATTATTTAATTGTTTATTATATTATATTCTTAGCTAGAAATATTACTATTCATTAGTAGTAGCCATAATTCATAAATGGCAACCATACAGGGTTCTATATGGAACACATTTTGGCTCAGTGAAGAAAAACCGTTGGGGTTCCGATCAAATATATCACTTTCAGGGGTTTCATATTCATGGGTTGCATGTTTCGTCACAATATTGTTTGGAACGCCCAACTTAGCATTCTACTCAATGCATCGTCAATGAGCGTTGATGAAAATGGCATCAAAAGTGCATTACAGTGGCTTGGAAATACAATGACATTCAAAAGGAGGCAAATAATTAGTAGAAAAACCTTTTGTCATCTTTTTGATGTCACCAGATTGACTTTAGATGCAGTATAACGTTAGCTAGCTAAGATTGAGGGGAGGTCACCGGATTTTAGCTCGCAAACGTTAGCATTGCTAGCTATTTTTGACAAACTTTGCTAACTAATGACATCATTGCCATTTGTCTAAAGTAAATTTGATGACATGATAATGCTGGGAAAGTTGCTTCCTACTAAATATTTGACTACTTTAGCAATGTCATCGTATTTTCAGGCACTATAGTGTAATTTAGACTAAACAGTATTTAGCCTCCGTCCAGAATGACTGGGTTTACCACCGCTTTAGGGCACCACTATGGCGCCGCCGATAGAGGGCGGCTTGAGAATGTTCCTAACAATGGCATGACGCGACCGAGTGACGGAGGTGCAAACTATGAATATGAAGCAAGCGATAGAACCCATTTTGGTTCTATATGGACCTTTTTTTTCTAAGAGTGCATGGCATGGTGGAGATCGCAAAAGGTCAGAGAGGCATGCAGCAAGGTTTACACAAACCCCAACTGTTGCAAATCAATTGCTAGGCTAGAAGCTTGTGAAAATTAATGTCTATGTCACGAATGTCTGTGAAATGCGGTGGAAGAAGTCAGGCGCAGGACACAGAACTCTAAGAAACGTACTTTACTAAGTAAGTAAAGAACACGACACAGAATACCTCCACACAGGGAGGAACTAACCCGCTCACCAACGACACACGTACCAAAGAAACAATCACACACAAATTCCAAATGAGAGACAGGGGTAAATATAGGGCATACAATCAAACATAATGGGGAACAGGTGTAAACAATACAGACTAAACTAGACAAACACCGAAACATCGATCGGCAGCAGCTAGTACTCCGGGGACGACGAACGCCGAAGCCTGCCCGAGCAAGGAGGAGGAGCAGCCTCGGCTGAATCCGTGACAGTCTAGACGCTTTTTCCGGGAGAGATTACATTTATGAATTGGCTGCCTGGGCTGTGGGACAGTGGATGTGCATTGATAATTCAAATAGAACTGTTAACAGGCACTACAGAGGTATTGTCATGAATAACTCCCTGCTATCAACCAATCAGCATCCAGGATCCAAACAACCCGTTTTATAAGGTACACTATCAACTGCGCTGCTGCACTTATAGTCTATGGCGGGCCCGTGTGTAAAATCTTCAACATATCTCTCTGCCCTGGTTTCCACAACTCTTAAACTAACCCTTAAATCCTTTAAAATAAAGCTGTCAAATAAAGTACATAATGGCCCTAAAACATGAGCTGGTAGATCAGTCCGCCCACACTGGAGAGGTGGAAATTACACTGCCACTCCCAGCTTTGATCTTGTCGCATCGGTGTGACCTGCACAAAGTTCTATTTTTGGGGCGACTAAAACCATAATTTGGTCAACGATAGCCTAAAGAGCATTAATATCCTGATTCCTCCATGGAAGTGTTTGCCTTGATGGAGAGGAACAGAAATATGCCTTATGATTGCGCAACATTTCAAAATGCAATGGTGCAAAAAAAACCGACTGTTGTTACTGTTGGAGAGAGGAAGGTCTCAGCTCTCTGTAGTTATGACATTTATTTCCAACTCCTCAATATTGACTGTTTTACAAATATTACAACAAATGTTATGGTTAAACTCAAATATACTGATTAATAAAAAAAAACATTATGTATGGAAAAAATGTATGAAAATGGTTATATGACTATAAACGGTTATGTCACATATGCAGCTATTGAAAATATATGGGAATGTCTGCTCAATCCAAACTTACAATCAACTGATTGCAGCATTACCACAAAAATGGAGGAGGCAAGTGTAAAAGGGAGAAGGTAGGGAACTTGTTTGCCTGCCATATATTAAAGATACAAATTGGCTGAAAGGAATTGGCATAAATAGAAAAATATAACAGTTTAATTTGAGGACAAAAATGTTGACAGCTGCGCCATACAGGTTGCAAAATTAATGGGAAGAGATTTTCGATGTACCGATTCCATAGCACATGGTTTATGAACTGGTAGAAAAAACAACTCTTGATTCAACACTTCGAGTTCTTCAATTTAAATTATTATTATGGTCACAGGTTCAGGAATGGTTAAAAAATCACATAATTCACTTAAAATGAACCTTACAAATAGCAGTGTTAGGCGATTTGGAAAGCCATAGTCAGTCAATAAGTAATATAATAATACTGGTTGGAAAGGTTTTCATTTTTAGCTCACAATCTGTGGATACTATACAATTAGAAAGGTTCAAATGTATGTAAAACATCACAGCACAATTAAAAAATATATGGCACATGGAAACCAAACGAGGGTGGTCTATGGTGATAGGTGGGATGGGCTGAGAGTGGCTGAGGTGTTGGTTTAAAGAGCTTATGTTTGGTAATGTATTATTGTTATGTGATTGCTTTATATAAAAATACCATGTATATAAATTGTGTATGCAAAATGTTTATGTAAAATGTCTATGTAAAATGTATGTACTGTATACAGTGGGGGAAAAAAGTATTTAGTCAGCCACCAATTGTGCAAGTTCTCCCACTTAAAAAGATGAGAGAGGCCTGTAATTTTCATCATAGGTAAACG